GAACAGGGACTCCCCCAGTGCCTGTTGATCCCCCCTGACTAGTTTATAGCAGGCCACAAGATCCCCCCTCAGCCTTCTCTTCTGGAGGCTGAACAGGTTCAGGTCCCGTAACCTTTCCTCATAGGACCTGCCCTGCTGTCCCTTGCTCATGCGAGTGGCCCTCCTCTGGACCCTCTCGATGCTGTCCACATCCCTCTTAAAGTGCGGCTCCCAGAACTGGACACAGTACTCCAGCTGCAGCCTGACCAGTGCTGCATAGAGGGGGAGGATCACCTCCTTGGTCCTGCTTGAAATGCATCTGTGGATGCACGACAAGGTACAGTTGGCCTTCCTAGCCGCCTCCCCACACTACCGAGCCATGTTCATCTTGGAGTCAATAATGACTCCAAGATCCTTTTCCACCTCCGTGCTGACAAGAGGGGAGTTCCCCAGCCTGTAGGTATGTGTTCTTGCCCTATGTTTTGTTTTTCTTTCTCTTCCCTGCCCTCATGTGAAACAATGGCAGGGCAGGAACCTTCGTGGGAGGGGGACAGATGCCCCCACAGAGCTTCCTTCAGCCCCCAAAATGAGGGTGGATCCCAGCCAAGACCCCAAGGGGATGAATGCCTCTGCAACCTCCACCCCAGAGGCAGAATCCAACCAACCTCCTCTAGGGGTGGAGAAGCCTGCAACCTCTGCTGCAGGGGCAGGCGGGACTCTGGTAGGGAGCCAACAAGGCCACCCCTGGAGTGGTTCCCAAGCCCCCTCATCAGGGACCAAGGGCAGTGGGAAGGGCTCCTCTTCAGCCTCCTCCACAGCTGGGGGTGGGAAGGGCAAGGGCCTTGCCCCCAAGCCAAGACCACCAGCACCTGAGGGGACCAGGTGCATTACACCAGCCAGCACACCCACTCAGCCTGTCCCTAGCCTTGGCCCCACCAACATGACTCCCCAGGGTGGGGAACTGCAGCTATGCACAGGCAGCTATGGGGAGACCTGAAACCAGGGGGCCTGGACCCTCCACCACCAGCCCTTCCAGCTTGGGCGGCAGGGTCCCCTTTCCAGCACTCCCCTGCAGGCACGGGGTGAATTGCCAACTGCCCAAGCAGGAGAACCTACACTTTGAAACCTGGGTGTAGGCCCTGGCTTGGGTAGTGGGGGCCCCCAAGATCAT